TTATTTTAAAAATAATAAAATTAATTCTTAAATAATTATGATAAATAAAAATCAAATTAGATAATTACCCACGGATATAAATCCGTGGGTAATTACTTTTTATTAATAATTTATGTTAAAAATATAAAATTAATTCATAAGTAATTATGATAAATAAAAATTAAATTAGATAATTTCTCACGAAATTATCCACGGATGTATCTGTGGGTAATTACCCACGGATACAAATCCGTGGGTAATTAATTTTTATTAAAATGAAAAATTTCTATTTAGCTTAAGAAATTTATCCCAACAGGTTCGTTTAAGTTGGTGAATTTGAGACCTTAGACTTTGGTTGCGGGTTCATATTCTCAACCAAAGATACTACAAAGTTTCTTAATTTAGCCGTTGGCTCACACACTAGTACCCGTACATTTCATCTAGTTCATATAGCATTAAAACCAGCATTCTGTATCACAATTTTACTTCTAACATATGGCTCCCTTAAGTCTTCTTTTTTGTTGGTGTGACCAGTGTTGTTGAGGAAACTAGAAAACCATTGAACAGAAAGTTTTGGAATTCGTTCAAGAGTGTGTCTGTCCACATAATAGAGCCCAAATCTTATGTCATAGCCACTTGCCCATTCAAAGTTGTCCATCAATGACCATATCATATATCCTCTAACATCCGCACCTTTTCTGCACATAATAAAATTACCCCTTATCAACAAACAAAGTAATTCGAAACAACCTTAAAAAAACGAAGATGTTAATGATATGTTATTCCTCATCACTCACCTTATGGCTCTTAGCAGAGCTGCAAGGTAGGCTTTATGATAATCTATTCGTTTGAAATCTTGTAGTAGATCATCCATTGTCTCATCAGGTTTGGGTGGTGATGAATATCCTGCAACAGTTTTTATGCAGCAAACCAAAATTGTTAACTCATTCCTCAAGAGTCAAAATCTAAACATACATAACAAAAAGCGAGCTTCCATTGTCACTGTTCTTTAAATCTTAATTCTAGATGAAGTGATCAATATTGATCAATCAACAACGCCATGTTAAAACGAAATGGGAGAAATTGAGATTTTGGAAACAACTTTCCTGTTTTCATTCATATTTTCAAAAATAATAATCATAAAAAGTACTACACCTTTTCTCTGTTTCTATTTCAATGTCGTTTTATTTCCTATACAAACATTTGAAAATGAGAAATAAAGTAAAAAAAAAATGACATTTTTATAATGGTTTGAGTACCAGAATTAAAAACAGAAAAACGATTCATCATAATGGAATCAATGTTTACGCACCATTTTCTGTAATATACATGGGTATATTATTATGGTATCTTATCTTAATGTATTCTACAAGCTTCTCCATGCCCCTTGGAACCACAAAGAACCCTGACATTCCTGTCTGCTTAAAACAACAAATTTTATCATAGATTATGATTCATACTTACTCCTTTATCAAACATATGAGTCAACAACATAATGAAAAAAAGCAAGTGGAAGATATAAGGGTACCAGATCACCAATCGGAATGCCATCTCTTGTTCCAGTTGTTTCTAGAAAACCACTTAGTGGATGATCTACTCCAAGAGGACAAGAAGAGAGGGAACAGTCCTTGGCATAGACAGTTCCATAGTGATTGATGCCAATGAAGTCTAGGCTTCCTTTTATGAGACTCTTCTCCTCAAGAGAGAACACTGGTAACTGACTCCCAAGGATAGAGAGCATCTCAGATGGATACTCACCAAAAACCAGGGGATCTAAGACCCTTCTTGTCACAAAAAGAGAAGGAAAAGTTTTTCAAAGAATAAAAGGATCATGTGCTGCTACTTCTTTTCATTAATAATAATAATAATATACAAAATAGTATGTGAAGGCATGATTGCCATAAGCAAAACCTCTCATTTTTCCTTTGATTTTGTTGCAGGTATTAAATGGTAGTTCTTAACAACTTACCAGGCTACAATAAAAGCCAAGCCCCTACTCGCAGCTTGTCTATCACATTCTTCATCTCTAAGTGGTTCATACATGAGGGATTGTGCCACAATGCCAATGGTTCCACCTTGCTTTGCCTGGATGAGCATGAGTAGTTTTCTAATTAAACTCCCATCGTCTTTACCCTAACCTAGAAAATGTGACAACAAAAGCTAGTTTAGGACATCTTTTGTTACCTGAAAGTGCTTGCGGTATAAGTCAACAGCCTTGGCATGTGACAGTAACATATTGTGCACGACAATTAGAGATTCAACATCCGAGTTACCAGTATAACAATTTCCAAAAGGTGGGGAACAGTGACCAGGGGGATATATTCCTTTCATATAGGCAAACTTTGCAACCAGACTTGGCTCATTGATGGTAGTCCAGTACTTAACCCTGTCTCCAAAACTCTTAAAACAAATTTCAGCAAAATGAACAAAATCTCTCCTACAAAACAAAGAAAGTATACAGTTATAAAAGTTTCACTGTTCTCTTAGCTTAGACTATGGACTATGATTATGCAGGAGAATTCATCAGCTTACAGGACAACTCATTGAAGAATTGATAAAATCCCAAATTCTTTAGCATTATATATTTAATAAAAAAAAATGAGAGCGAAAGATTTACTGTATTAAGGGACTAATCCAACCATCATATCTTTCTTCTAGTTCTTGTGGCAAGTCATGATGATGAATTGTCACAAATGGCTCAATCCCTGGTACACCATGTTCAGAATTAGGTACATCTTAGGACAATGTCATGCTGTTATATACAGATAAAAAAAATGCTAATGACATGCTCTTGAACACTCTTTTTTCAACTCACTCTTTATTTAATATGTACGTCGCATATCCCATATGATGTGTCTCATTCTCTTCATTTGATGGGTCTCATTTCCAAACTAGTGAGACCCACATGAACTTCAACAAACGGGATAGTGTATTAGAAAGAGAATGTAACTAAATGTGTTGTCGTCATTCCATTCCTTATATAATATTAAACCATTTGAGGTTTGGCTTAACAATTTTAGTTTTTACTTTTAGGAGAGTTATTTCTCATGTCTTGAGCCGTGACACATACCACTGAATATTATCAATGTAAAGTCAATACAAAGCAGCATTATGGAATATAAAGAACCAAGAGGAAATTGACATTGTTGCTACACCTCTAAGCAGCAGATTGTCTATAATCTTGTTGTAGAACTTTATCCCACTTGGATTAATGTCCCCATATATGCCTCCTGTGAGGGTTCATGAAGATCAATTAAGCCGAAAATTTGAAAGATATGATTATGGGAACTATTACTTAAATTTGTAATACTTACTAGGTAGAATCCTTGTCCAAGAAATAGAAAATCGATATACATTTACCCCAAGAGATGACATCAACTCTATGTCTTCCTGTCAGATTTCAAAGAAAACCATTAAGTCAGAAGTGAGTCAATGATGCTATTAAGTCAGAGTATATAAAAAAATTATGAAGGTGATATTTACCAAATAGCGATGGTAATGATCATCTACAATATCACCATTCTCATCATTTTCAATATTTCCTGAAAATTTACCAAAATTCATAGTGATTATTCATGTCCATCATTATTTAAGAGTTTAATGACTACGCCCTACGAGTGTAAAATACTTTTACCCTGTCTACTAATTACAATTCATCTTTGGTGTGACATTTTAGTTATTTACTTTAAAAGTCAACAAGTTCACTATACTTTATGTTGTAACTTTATGGTTTCTGATTGGACAACAATTTAAAACGATTTTACTAAGTCAATGTATAACTTATTTTTTCTTTTTCTTTTCTATAATTGTATGCTCCACAATAAATCAAGATAGATTAGTGTGCATTTACCTGGTGTATGACTAAAAACATCCCAGTTACTTAAACCCTTGCCATCTTCAAAAGCTGCTCCTTCAATCTGTTGTTTCAGAAAATTCCCTCATCAGAAACTATGTTTCAAACATTTCAAGAGGGGAAAGAAGTCTGTGACTCCAACAACATTTATATATTTTGAGGGAAAAAAGTAAAACTAGTTGAACATATTTGAGAGCAGTGAAAAGTAAACATGTACCTGGTACGAGGAAGTGCTTGTTCCAAAGAGGAAGCCTTGTGGAAATTGAGATCTGCTGATTCCATCTTCAACTTCATGAGAACTTTGAACACAGAAAAGCAGTATTATTACAACACTCAAATTCTTGAATTTTTTACTGGAATAATATTTTTTTTTAAAAAAATTACAAGAATGATCACTGTGCAGGATTATTTACCAAGATAGAACCATTTACTGTTCAAGCTCAGAATTTGCACTCTGTTTTTTTAAGCAGAACGGCCCGTTCTGCTTTTGGAACGAGCCGTTCCGCTTCCCAGATCAGCCCACATTTGCTCCATACACGAAAAAAAAAAAAAATTTAAAACCAACTCATAATTCGGTTCCCCGGGAACCGAATTCTGAGTTGAAAAAACAAAAAAAATTACATTTTGATGCTCAGAATTCGGTTCCCGGGGAACCGAATTCTGAGCTTGAACAGTAAATGGTTCTATCTTGGTAAATAATCCTGCACAGTGATCATTCTTGTAATTTTTTTTAAAAAAAATATTATTTCAGAAAAAAATTCCAAATTCTTCTCTACCATTTTCATGTTCGTATGTCAACAGTAACACCTGTCTCAGCTCCACTTGTCTAATTTCTAAATTATGCTACACTTCTGTTTATTACTTTATTTCTTTCTTTATTCTTCCGTTCTGTCCATTTTTTGTTTCTACATAACAGGCGCTAAATATATATTTTATTTATAAAAATAACAACTAAATATCTATTTTGTTTGACACGTTTGGCAACATCTCTAATGAATATTATAGTACTATTCATCTTTTCTTTATTATTATAGTCAGAAAATTTGATTTAATTTAACTTAATTTTTTTAAAAATTATAAAAAAATAACAACAGTTTTTTTTTTTTGCTTTTGATTTAACTGTGATTTTTTGCTAATTTATACTCAACGAAACTAAAAAAAAACTTGTCAAATATACAAATATCACGTTGTTCAAGATCAGTTAACCAAAGTTATAAGATACAACTAAACATAGTCGAAATACAAAGTGCAGTGATTGCCTGGATAGGAGCCATTAGGGTCGCCATCAGTAATAAGAATGAAGACTGTTACGAATTAAAAAAAACAAAAAGATGAATACGATAAAAAAGTTGAAATAATCTAACTTTACTTGGCCACTTTTTTTCCCCACGTGCTTAAGTCATAATAGAACGAAAAAATAAGTGTTTTTATTTTTATTTTATAAAGTTGGTAGGTAATATATAATGTTAGTCTAAAAAATAATAATTATATATACATAAATTTAGAGGTTTTTTTTTTTTTTTATAAATATAAACCGATAGATAAAAGATGATATTGACATAATTACTATACAAATAGTCAATGATATATTGAAGATTTTTAGATTAAACATCAATATTCATTTAATGATTAATCGAAGTTTAATATCGTTCAATTGACATGAAACTTTACTTGGGAAACTGAAGATTAACAAAAACTTATAAGAGAAATTTCACTTATAGAACCAAGGAATTTCTTTTAGTATACGCATGCCACTCAAAATAAAATTTAATGGTAAAAAGGAGTGTCAAATTTACATGATGGAGAATAAGCTCAAACCAAACTCTAAACCATTTATATCAACTTGTGATAACATTTGGAGTAATACAGAAGTTAAATATTTATTATATATAAATAAAATTTAAAATAAATTATATATATAAATAAATATTATATTTAAATATATAAATTATATTTTAGATTTATGATAAATAATTTATATTGTAGCATAATATTATTTTTATTTATTGATAATTAATTTTAAAATATTAAAATTTAATTTATAAATAATTATATCAAATAAAAATCAAATTGAATATGAAAAATAAAAGAATCCTTAAAAACATTTTCCTCGAAGAAAAGTTTTAAAAATACTTTCATGCAATATAACTATTTGTGTTTTATATATATGGTGTTGATTTATATAGTAGCATAAGATTATTTTTATTTATTAATAATTCATTTTAAAATATTAAAATTTAATTCATAAATAATTATAATAAATAAAAACTTAAATTAGATATAAAGTTCAAGAAATTCCTAAAAACTCTTTCATAGAAGAAAAATCATTAAAAACGTTCGTATATAAGATAGTTGTAGAGAAAATAAACACACTAAAAGGAGGCTGAAGTAATAGCATAAGCTTTAAGAAGTGTAGAAGAAACAAAACAAAGAACACAAAGTATTTTTATATTAGTTTAAGTCAACCACCAAAATTATGTCCAATTTTTGATCAATTTAATCAAATTTTACTATCTTTTATAAGAATACAAGTATTCTTTTATAGCTCGACTATATATTCTTTGAACAACAAAGTTCTTTCAAACAAACTATCCAAACATTCTTTGAACAACAAAGTCTTTTTAGGCTTAAGTTAAAACACATAGTTAAAGTTTGATAAAGATAACAAAAGATTCACCTTTTTCACAAGATATAATACAACAAGTATAGAAATATATACGAAAGGGATGAATAAAACGAAGTTGTTCTCCTATTATTATTCTTTCTGAGTTTTTCAAACCCCCTTATATATGTGATTTGATGAAGATATTTGTTACAAATTTTTGAGTTTCACTTATTGACTTGCTTCATCTTTCTTCATCTTCCCTCTTGTAGAGCAAGGTGTTCGTTAGTACATTAAACACATTTTATCAAATGGTCACTTATTTGATTAAAGAGACTATTTATCATTTTTTGGTGTAAAATAGGAGAAATTGTTGCGTATGTTAGTCACAAATAATTTTATAGATGATTTCACACACTTTGAGATATTTGTTTCATTTCTCTGACAAAAAATAAATCTTCATTCCTTTATGACGTCCAAGTACAAAAGATGTTTTATTCTTTCAATCTATTAAGTAATATCATAAAAACAAATGATATGGTCATTAAACATAATATATACTCATTCCCGACTGCTGCAACCTTTGCCGGGAAAGAAGAAAGAAGGAATTGAATCCAACCCCCTAACTCGAGAAAAATTCTTCATCTGCACCTGAGACAAGTAACGGATATCCCACTCCGGTAAGCTAGCAAATAATATAGAAGATTAGAATTTTTTAAAGTTCTTTTTAAAACTCAGAAAGTTCTCTTCGATTCGAGTCGAGTGCATAAGCCGCTTTCCCTTTAGGAATCTTGTCTCAAGCCATTGATCTTAGCTTTGGCCCTCTCTGGAAAGGAAAATCTGAAAGCTTCCCTATTTTTTCTGCCTCTCCAGTTCAACAACTGGATTCTTTCTTCTGGTTTACCAAGATCTTAGTCATTTCACCTCTGTACTTTGATTAAGAGTTCAAAAGGCAAGGATTAGGTTTTTTTTGTGAATAGGTCCCTTAAACTAACCTATCCATGGGATAAACCCTCTTAGTTTATTTCCTAAAGTAGTCCTTCTTGAAAGAAAAGATTTGTGAGATCGATAGAGACAACGAGGCCAAGGGAAGAGAGCCATTCTTTCTAAGAGAACGGGAATACGGAATGGACCGACAGATAGAGACAAAAGAGCAACTACAGTAGCGACAGATTCCTCCTCTACCCTCTTCTGCTCCTTCGATGAACTCGGCTATTGCTGAAAGTTCACTTCAATAAATAAGACTGTGAAAGACTTCTCGATTCACTAGCACAGCGCTTCTTCCGCTTTTTTCTGACCTTGAGTTGAGGAAACTGGCTAGGACAAACTCTCCTTCATTCAAATGAAAGGATGGGAAATGAAAAAGGAATAGAAGTAGGCAAAGAAGCTCTTAGCAAGAAGGAAAGGCTTCCAGTTGCTATTGAATCCGGAATAAGGCAATCCTTATTAGAATATGCCAACATAAGCATAAGACAGCAAAGTGGATGCATCGAAGAATGCCCTCTTTCTCTTTAAAGGATCAAGAGTTTACCACGTACACAGAATCGAATGCTAGTTCGTACCCAAGGGATTCGATATTCCTAGATGGGCTTGTTCTTGAATGCGCAGGGATTGGGACTAAGAAGACTGCTGCCATTCCATTCCGAAAGTAAGTGCCACAGTCTCCTCTCCGGCTCGTTACAAGTATTCCACTCGCGCCTCTCTGCATGAATCCCATTCCCCTAGCAGTGGATTCTCCAACTTTTGCAAGAGTAAGAGTGGAACCACAAGTCGAAGGTTCCAGTACTGCTATGGTCCTTGTTTCAGGGGGTTGCAGATCATCATGTTCACAATTCGGCTATTGGGCTTTCTAGTGAGTCCTCCGGGATCGTCTGCTGTGCCTGTTTATCTAGTGATAGGGAATTAGGGAAGGAATCCGGGATCACTTCACCTCCCTTCATTACTCTATCTATGGAATCTTTCCCATCGCTAAATGCGTACTTACTGACAGACTTTCATTCATTGTTTACTGCTAAGCTTACTTCATGCTTTTCCTGCCTTTACTTTTTGAAGATCAAAACCTAAATCAGGGGTTGATCATCGAAGCCAGGGCAATAAGGATTCCGGAATTGGAGCGCTGATGTAGCTAACAGCCACCTTCATAGTCGATTCATTAGGGCCGTCACCTTCTACCCAACTAGTTGAAGTATCCACCGCTTTCTTTGTCTGTTAAGCCTCACAGCCGAAAGGCCGATCCCTCTTTCTTCTTTCTCTTTCGTCTTTGCGGAAAAGAGGCGGGCAATCTTGCGGAGAGTTGGTGGTCAATTCTTTGATATAGTTAGTGTTCCGCGAGTGGGATAAGGACAAATCCGAGATCAAATAGAACCGCAACACCGACGCCTATTCCCGAGGGCCATTTCAAAAAATGACATAAAAGAGGACAACGAGCGTCCCATAATTCTAAAAAAATAGGCTATGACCAAACCAAAAACAAATTTTCCTCGAAAGACGAAAGAGAGCGCTATTAGGAAAAACATCTTATTAACTTAACTAATTTTGAACGGAAATTGTCGCGAATGCGAATATATAATTCTTTTGGTCCGAATTTATCTAGTGTTGTGCGTTCTCGCTATATGCTGTTGCCTCTCTCTGATAATGGGTTGTGTTGACCTGTTTCATGCAATGTTGGGTAAGATAGGTTTCTCTCTCGGGGGTCGAGCCCTTTCTGTTCTGTTTTTTTGATAAAGATGGGCTGCTCCGGCGGTCTGGCCTTGGCCATTGCTGTTCTTTTGAAAGCCTTCTTCACTGCCGAGGCCGCACCCGATCTTGGAAATCAAATGGCTTCGTCTGGAGCGGAAAATCGTGTTAGCAATTGGCGTCAATATCTAAGAAATTCTTCATCAAATACAGAAGGGGAGTCCGCCCACGAACCATCCACCTCACCCTCCTGGACGCGGGTCCTCTTTGGATCTTCTGAAATGGAAACGGAGGACACGGGCACGTCCGTCAATGACAGAGTTGCACGGCCTGTGCCTCCCGCTAATCCAGTCGCTCCCGGGGAAGCGGATATTCTACCTGTCGTACCCTACCCCTATCAGGAAGATGAAATGATAGGGGGAGATAGTCTTCTATCTATAAGGAAACGACTCTTAGCATCCAACGCCCAACCATCTGCCGAGGGCATTAACTTGGCCCATCTTGACGCCCAAGACCGCTTCGAAGTCAAGGTGGATATAATCAAGCAGACGGCAGTCCTTGATCCAAGTGGCGATTGGACGGGACGGGGAGCGCGGGCCCTGGACAATCCCCGTGCGGCCTCATCCATCAGAAGGGGAACCTTCCTTAATAGAGCTCTATCGCCTTAGGGACGAGCTCCATGAGGGAGGAGTACAATCCGATGCATTAAAAGGCTCAAGGAAAAGATTTTAACCAGGGTAGAGAATCTGGATGAGAACTCCACTACTTAATCTACTGGCGTGGTGCTACTGGATGCTTCTGATCAATAGAACAGGAAGAGGAGGAAAAAAAAGCTTATGATGAGCATCTATTTGAGTCGATCATTTCCAAGATCTAATTCCAGTTTATTCTTATGTAGTGGAAAGGCCTTACAATCAGAAGTTTTACGCTTAGGGGAAGAAATGTTCTTGGTGGATGCAGGACCTGGGACCCCCATAATTTGTATGCAAGATGAGCCTACAGGAGTGCCAATCAACCGAGCCACCAGGTTTGAGAATAAGGTGGGATCCCTGGATCTAGTGGCCGGTGAATCACTGATCAAAAAGAAGATTTTGGAGAGATTCTTCATCGATCTAGTGGCCGGCGAATCACTGATCAAAGAGCGAGCAGCCGCCAGGTTTAATGATTTGGTGGGATCCACAGATGTAGTGGCTGGTGAACCGCTTCTTCTTCTTCCACGAAGATTCAGACAAAACCTAGCTTGGATGGAACTGAACAAGATTTGGCGAACGAATACAAAGGTAAAAGGCTTTATTATTGATATTGATAAAGTAAAAAGGGGAGGTTATTCAGTAGCCATCGCGGGTTTCATTACTTTTCTTCCATTCCGTTCTCACAACAAAAGAAGAAGGAAAAAGATATCGAATGATCGATTCACCATTGAGAGCATTAACCCCAAAAGGACGAATATTGTGGTGTTCTAACAGCGGCAGATCAAACAAGAACTTTATGAGCCTGACGAAAATCTTTCCTTTTTTTTTTTTCAATTCCTCAGCGCCTGATAACACTCTATCACCTTAATATTCTTTTGTTGAGGGTCTGGCACTTATTACAGGCCGCTCTGTCATTGTCTGATTTTTTGTTGTCTGATCACACTCTAAATTATGTATCTACTTATCGTATTTTTGCCCCTTATCGGTAGTTCCTTTGCAGGTTTTTTCGGACGTTTTCTAGGATCAGAAGGAAGCGCTATAATGACCACTACGTGCGTTTCATTCTCTTCGATCTTATCTTTGATTGCTTTTTATGAAGTCGCACCGGGAGCTAGTGCTTGCTATCTAAGAATTGCTCCATGGATCTCATCGGAAATGTTTGATGCTTCTTGGGGCTTCTTTGGCGACCGTGAAGTCACCGGATGAATTGCCGAGTAGATAGATCAGATCCGGACGCGGCTGTTGCTCCGCGGCGATACGGACTCGACCCGCTCCTACCCACCCCGGGTGCCATAGGCATCACATGCAATCATGCATCATACATCATAATGGTCTGCCCACCATCATGATCAACAATCATACACATGTCATAAGACATCACATGTAATAATGCATCATACATCATAAATGGTCTACCTACCATTATGATCAATAAACATACTCATATTCAAACATTCATACGTATCATCATAAGCATACATACGAATCACACCTCACCATACATCATATATCATACATATATGATCTACTATTTCAACGTTAAACATGCATAAGCATCAATTTAAAATAATTATTTATAAATATAATTACGCTTGGCACAGTCAGCTCACACCTAGCCTAACACCTACCCAAGAGCTCTAAGCTCTTCCACACCTGGCATACTCAACCTGCGCCCGGCTTAATCCCATTGAGTTTGTAAACTCACATACATCCTAAATAACAACATTCTAGCTTCCCTTACCTGAAGATTGGCTCAGATAGCCAAAGACTGAACAAAAGTAGAATTTCCCCTCGAGGCTTAACTCGGAACTTCAGTCCTCCCAAAACAAGCTTTCTAATCTGAATTTCAAGAAAAGACAGAAGGAGTTATTGATCTAGAGGAGAAAAGGGGTTAAACAGAGAAATTTGGGAGAGAAAGGAGCTCACTGACCCAGAGACATTCTCTCTAAAACTTCTCTCTAGAATCAGAACTCCTCACGGCCCCCCTCACCCTTATTTATAGGCAATCCAGAGTGGACAGAAAGGCCTATATATATATATATGTGTGTTTGTGCGCGCGTGCGCGTGAGCTAAACATCTTTCAATCTTTTTTACTTAAATAATTACTTTTTACATATAAGTCGTATTTTTTTTAATCAGCAAAATGTTCTTTTATAAGTATAAAATCATATTATACCAAAGTATATGACATATCGTTTAGTAGGTTATTGAGCAATAAGTAACTAGTAAACTTTTTTCTATATATGGGTCCTTCCCATAGTTATTTTATATTTATATCAAGTTAATGAAAATATTATATATGTAACCTCATTTATTTAAAAGATTACAACAAATATCCCGTTACTCCAATATATCATATTAAATGTTGACTCTGATCCAAAAAAGTTATCACATATTGTTCTTGGCATTCAAAATTTATTTAGGCATATCACCTTTCTCCAACATCTTTCCCACTATGTGATTTGTTTGTTCACAATATACGAAGTTGTATTTGCATTCCATTGACTAAACAGTAACAAAAGGTAGAGTCATATACTTTCAGCCACGCCAATAATGAAAAAGCATCTCCTGTGTAATTTTCTCTAGACTCACATCTTTGTTTTGGAAGACATATTTATTTTTTGTATTCCATATAGTCCACATTGTGGAACACCAAACAAATCTCTACCTAATTAATAATTACAGTATTATTTCTTCTTGGCATATATAATGTGTTGCAAAATATGTGTCTTTGCAAATGTACGGGAAGTAATCTATGTACTAAGCATTGAAAACAGTGAATACCAAATCCCTGCAATAATATTACACACAAACAAAACATGACTCAAAACTCCTTGTCTTATTCACAAAAAGGGCATGATAAATTTTCATCATTAACCATAATTTTTTCCTTTTCAAATTTTCCCTGGTTGCTAACGTATCCAGATAACCCTCCATAAGAAGAAAGTCAATTTCGATGGCAATTGCAACTTTAATAATTGAACATGTAATGCCGTGTATGCCAATCTCACTTAGTATAGGCCAGATGCAAGGACGGAGTCAAGGGGGGACCTACGGGTGCCACGGCCCCCCCAACAATTTTAATTTTTTTTTATATTTTTTTTTATATGCTTTTGATACTTTAATTTTCATTTATTATAAATTATATATTATTTATTCTCGGCCCCCCAGTATTGAAATCCTGGCTCCGTCCCTGGCCAGATGGCTCTTCTATCTAAACTCAAGAACCTTGAGTCTCCTTGCAAGGCATGAGGTCTTCTAAATGATTGAGGAAGTGATTAAATTGATCTCTTTCCTACTCGAACCATTCTCTCCACCAAGAAAAATTTCATCTCCAAGAATCACCCTCTCATATAGTGACGGATTTAGAAATTTTAGATAATAGGGACAATAATTATTTATATATTTATAATATTAAAATTTTTACATATAATTTTTAAAAATATAAATATATATCATAATTATTTTTTACAAACTTTTATATCTATGCTTACGATTAAGGATGAAAATAAATTAAGTCAGACTATATTATATTATAATTTAGTAAGTTTGATCCTAACTTTTTTTTAAAATACATGTCCTAAGTATGACTTATTTATCTATCATAGACATTTTTTAAATATTTGGTTAGAACTACAATCCTAAAAATATACTTTATAATAATTTAATACTAATAAAAACATAAAAATAAATATGTTAAATTGTATAAAAATCAAGTTTAATTTATTTATAATATAAACATGTTTTTAATATCTAATATAATATTTTAGATAATAATTTATTTCAAACATATTTTATAATAAAATTTTTAAATAGAATATAAATTTTTCAATCTTTTCCATTTTGATTTTTTTAATTAACGTATAGAATCTTACAATTTTTACTATTTTGATTTTTTAGTCAATGTATACATAAATAAAAAGCACAAAAGGTAAATATATATATTACAAATTTTATTTTATCAAAAATTAAACTTTTAAAAAAAATTAATTCGTTATTAAAGAGTATTTTTTATTATATAAGAGAACTAATCTCCTTCGAAAATTTGATAAATATCAAATAAATGAACAAATCTTTTAAATTTATATTTTATAATATGATAATTTAAATATATATGTTTCTTTAATTAAAATATAATTTTTATTTTTAAAATATTTTTTTGGGATAAAAAAAATATGTGTGTGTAAAATGGTAGTCATGTGCCCTACTCTCTTCTTCGTGCATTAGTGCCTGCTCCCATACACCTATATCACCAATTTTTGTTGTCTTTGTTGAGAGTTAAGATGTATCCTTAACTCATTTTATGGGTTCCTTATCAAACAATTATTTTATGAAAGTGTTTAATACATAAAAGTCAAACCAAGATGAGATGTTAGAATTTTTTTTTCTAATAATTATGTGGTCTACATATATTATTTGTAGTATTTATATTAGTTATTTACATTTAGTTGAGTTCAATAAAAGTGATCTAATTTTAATGAGCCTTTAGACTACCAACAGGAAAAACTGATATGGACCCAAATAAATGAAAACCAGATTTGGCTCGTTAAGGGTTAATGGGAACCTTAATAGGTTTAAAATCGTAAAGATGGTCATGATCCCCAATATGCTAAATCAGAAACACACGTCTCTCTGTCTCCCCATTAGAAGAGTAACATCAAGTCCTGTTAAGGAATCCAGTGATTTAGCTGAGGAAGATCATTGTACCAAAAAACTATTCCGCTGCAACCTTTTAATTAACGTCAATGGATACAGGTACGTGTTATTAACATTAACTCTATAATCTGAGACAACGGTTCTTAATATTGATTAATGAAAAATTTCTATTTGGCTTAAGAAATTTATCCCAACAGATAAAACTCACCGTCTTCTTTAATTTCTAGTTATCATACTAATTATTTTATTACTAAACATTTAAATGCGTCTCTACATTAGCTCATATGCATAAAAATCCATATAACATAAGTAAATTAATCATTTCATGTATATATATTTATGCATAAATTATAAATGGAGAATCACTTTTGATTAGGGTAAGACAGGCTTAAATATAACACCAACAACAACAAAAATCTTACAAATTACCAATTCTTTACTCAAATTGTCTGGATTGGTTTCTTATGTTCATTAATTTATAAATAAAGTCCACAAATTTTAAAAAAATTAAAAATTATTTATACTTCGTTTTGTTAATTAAAATTGATGGGTATTCATAACAATATTTTATATGTTGATTTGAATCTATATAAAGAAATATTATATTATTTTAAAATATTTTAAAATTTGCAGACTTTATTTATATAGTAAAAACTTTTAATTTAACAGTTGAATTATTAAAATTTAATGTAGAATTTAAGTTATTTAGTGGAGTAAGTTTATCAAGACTTGACTTACTCTTGGATATATGATGGTAAAATGAAAAGAAATCAAATTCATATATTCATATATGATTAAAAAAAAACTAAGAGTAATATCATAAAACTAAAGTATGTGGTGTAATAGAACTTTAGATAGAGGGAGAAATAATAATATCTATTGGGATAGATGGAATTTAAATATATCAAATATGTCATTTAAAATTCTGTCAAAATCACTCATTAATAATGGAATAATTAAAATATTTAGGATTCATATATTCGTACTTTTTAATATATATATATAGAGGAGGGATCCTTTTACTCTATGGAGTAAGTCTACCTAGACTTTCAATAACTCATGTTCTATATCAAATTTTAACGATCCAACCATTCAATTTAATGTTCTTAATGCATAGATTAAATCTGTAAATTTTTAGAAAATTTGAAAATCATTTTATACTTCGTTTCATTAATTCAA